TAGTAATTAATTGATAGAGAGACACAATGCTGAGTAAAAAAAGTAAACTTTTTTTTATTATTATTTACTTAGAGAGGCCACAGGTGTTTCTAGACCAATTTCAAAAAGTTACGATAAAAATCCAGAGACTAGTTCAAATGTATGGCTTTTAAACAGTTAATGATTACAAAAAACTGAAATTTATTTGTCACGCTGTACTACATTAGAATAAAAGTAATTTGTAATAATTAATTGACACCCCCCCCCCTGCTGCTAAATATGTTGCACTTTCACTGATTATTAGAAAGTGGCTACGTAGAGACACCATTCAAGTTTCATGGTGATCGGTCAATGTTAAGCCTGTCAAAAGCCTGCTTAATGCTGATTGGCTGATGGTGGCCATAATGGATCAAATTGTCCTTTGAGATTCACTTGTCTGTTTAGTAGATGCTACATGCAAAATTTCAGATGTATGGAGGCTGAGAAACAGTTATATTAAGTTTTACAATTAAGTTTTACAATTTTGGGGTGAAAGATTCCTGAGTTACAGATTTTTTTGTTATTTCTGAATTATTTTGAATTATTCCAGAAGGATTAATTAATGAACATATTGCAGCCATATTGTTTATAAACGTCAATATTTTTTGATAATTACTGAGGTTTGGCTCTTCTGAATTTTTTGACACCAATTTCATGAGGATCGGGCAAAAACCCTAGGACTGGTTAGCAAAAGTAGGTTTCGCAGATTACTCAATTTTGTGAAGAATCAAAGTGGGTGGAGCAAAAAGTTTCAGATTACAGAGTAGTGGGTCTTGACCCAAAGAATCAGGAAAAAAAATTATTTGTCTCCTAAAATTTAGGTTTGGGAGTTACAGAGCCAAACGCATTTTGCTGCACCATAGCGCCACCTTTGAGTTTGTGTCATGCACCTGAGTAGTGGGAGGGACTACTACCTACTGAGCAAGTTTCACGTCTCTACGGCCTACGGTTTGGTCTAGGCGATTTGTTTTAGGGAAGAAAAATAAGAAAAATATATTTAAGGTGTTACAGGCATGGGCAACACGGCGGTGCAGTGGATAGCGCCTCACAGCAAGAAGGGCCTGGGTTCGATTCAGGGCCGGGCGACCAGGGTCCTTTCTGTGTGGAGTTTGCATATTGTCCCTGCGTAGGTTTCCTCTTACAGTCCAAAGACATGCAGTCAGGCCAATTGGACATGCTAAATTGCCTACATGCTATCCTGCCTTTCCCCAGTGACTACTGGGATAGGCTCCAGCACCCAGCGTGACCCAGAAGGATAAGTGGTTTAGAAAATGTGTGTTTATGTGTGTGTGTTACATGCATTTGTATTTGGCTAATGTCATTGTATTGGTGTGTTGTGAAAGTATTTTTCCTGGGGTTTTTAACACAGTAAAAGTTCTGATGACCACAGACAGCCAGCCAATCACAGCACAGTTCCTGAAATCAGTAGGTTACAATGATATGTTGGGTTACACCTGACCCGCCCACAACTGTCAAAATTGTATTTTAAATGAACTGGGGCTTAAAATGTTTTTTACCTTGTAATTACATCAGTTATTAAAAAGAAAAATGACAGCACATGGCGACAGTCAGTGGTCTAGTCCCTAGAAAACAGTGGGTAGATAAATCTGCCGCAGCCCAGTACACTCAAGAGAAAGAGAACAAGAGAGTTGGCTATTTGGACTAATACTGACTTTTATTACATATTTCAGTTCATAAATTCTACTTGATATCTGCTCCTTTGTCATAGCATAGGTTTAACAATTTGAGTTAACTACTCAGGTCACTCAACCAAATATACACTCCACAGTCCTTGAGGTGAAATCAAACGCTTATCTTCACTATTATTTTATGGCTCGTCTATGGTTTTTAACAGCAGCTTGTGCTGGATATCTGTGAAGAGTCAGTGTGATGTGGTAAGGCGAGGCCTACCCCATCACCAACGAATACCATCACTCGGACTACAAAATACATGTGTGTGTGTATATGAAGGTACTTACCTGTGTCTGCCTGTGAAAGGGAAAATAGCAAAAGGGGGACAGCAGGGAGACCTACTTACCTTATCCTTATCGGGAGGATCCACCGATGGGTAGAAAAGGGGGGGTCCACTCCTCATCTAATATCCTGTGGGGGGGAAAAGAAGCTAATTACTTAATGGCCAAGACAATGTATTTACCGGTAATGAATTGCTTAACTAACCTAGGTTGACTGTTGTGTATAGTGCTATTGTTTGTTTTAGGTGTAAACCACACTGTTCTGACCTCATGGTGGGGAATGGGATTTCCGAGGGCGGGGCTTTAGACTTAAAAACCCGAGGGTTCCTCGGAGAAGTCTTCTACTTCTCCCCATGACTCTGTTTGCCACCGTGAACACTAGCTGCTTGTAGTATCTAAAGTAATGGTGTGGGGAACTTTTAAAGTGAGTTGGGACCCAGCCTTGCGGCTGCTTCCCATGCCATGACTAAGCCTGACGCTTAGTGTTTGTACATACTGTAAATACTCTATTCTCCATTTATTTTTCCCTTTGTACAGTTTTTGTTTTCCTGTTTTCACGTTGTGTAAATAAACTGCTTGCTTGTGCACTCTACTTTTGGTCTTGCCCATCCTATTGGTTGCTCACCCTCTCATACCTTACCAGTAAGCCACACGTAAAACCCCAAATCCTCTTCTCGGGGTTTAACATCTCCACAGTCAGTCATTAAAACAGTCATTATGATGACTGTATATCACCGATGTGCCTTTGGAAGAGAAGGAAAGCCAGCTGTGCTGATGAATTCCTCAGCAGTGAACTGAACCAGTGTTTGTTTTGGAAGTGGACCAAGCCCCACATTTTTTTGCTGGATCGGTTCACCTTTTTGTTTCAGACCCGAATACGGGTGGAGTTTTCACACGTCAAAACAGAGTGAACTAAAGAAAAAAGCCAACCAAAGCGCCCTGAGAAACCTCACCATCTATGGCTAGCTGTCTGCATCGTGCTGCGGCTGCGTTGTCTGAAACTGATGACATTTTATTCGCCCACTGCTGCAACGTTTTTATTTGTACGTTTCTATTAATATTTGTATTGGTTTTAATATCAACACTTTTAATTTTTAGATTTTTAATTATTAAGTTAATCTTTTTTGACGTTACCAGCCCACAACAAATTACTGCCTCCCTCTGAGTACAGGCCTGCAGATCACTAGAGGGTGCTTCACGCTCCACTGGTGGTCTGCAGCCCACTGATTGAGAACTGCTGCCCTAACTCATGCAGATGTTTTGATAGTGAGCCAATTTGAGGTAGAGTTTGGGGGTCGAGGTCTGACTAGAGGTTGAATAGCTTTACGGTCATGAAATTACAACGATTGAAAACGATTTTCATAAAAGACTGTCTGCTTGAGGGATCGTACAGATATGGGAAAGATGAAACTGATGAATAACAAAACTGAAATCTACATGCGCTCATTTGACAGTGTGGTTTGACTGTATGTAGCTTGAATGAATAAGGGCCAATGTGTCTGTTTTTACATCAGATCTTATCAGGTTTTGGTACCTTGCCTATTGCACACAATAATACAAGCCTGGTTTGCACTTTCTATCATAGCAGTCATTTTAAGACAAAAATTAAACTGACTAAACTAAGCTAATGAAGATACAAGCCTAAAAATTTGCACACTATCTCCCGGGCACAGTGACATTATTTACTGAAAGTATTCAGCAAATCTGAGATGGGTCAGTCAGGAACTTGTTCTGAAACTCTAGTAAATCGAGGTGGATTTATCCTAATGATAGCTTAATTCCTGGATTAAGATATTGCATATTATACGACAGGTAGTTCCGGCCATGCAAGCTGGTTTTTCACAAACACTGTATCACTCCGCTGAGAGTCATTTGAACATTTTTTGTTTCTTACTTTGTGCACAAACAGAACATGGATACTTTTAAGATTACATTTGACCTACCGCTGATTTGGTCAGACTCTGAAGATGAGACTACACTAAATTCTGAAACTGCCAGTTATTCTGTGTAAGGATCTGGAGAACGAACTGCTGGCTGTGCAGCCAGTGAGTGGTGCTCGTTACTCTGATGTAGCAACAAGCTGCTTGTTAAGGAACTATAATTTGGCAGAAGGAACTGCTAACATTAAAACATTTTAAATGCCACATTCACAGCCCAATTTATTTATTTCTTACTTTATTTATTTAACTGTTGTATAAAACAGCCTTTGGTTCGTGCGTGCGACCAAATCACAGCCATGATGTTATTTTGCCATAACACACTCCCTCTCATGTTCTATTGCTTAAATATCTGCCTGCACTGACCCAAAGAGCAGGCTACAAAGCCTTACATTGGTTTAATATTAATAAGAAACCTAAACTAAAGTTCAGCATAGAATATAAATTATATAAACACCACCAAGGTTTAGGAAAGTAATACTGATGACTTTTTCACAATATGGTTGAGACCTTGTTTTGTAGATAACATGGCGTTTTGTAGCCATTGGACCTACTTGTGGAAGGTCACAAGGACAGAGGCTTTGAAAATGAATGGGTTGTTTTACATTCTTGGTTTTTTCCCTTTACCTCAAATGTTCTGTCAAAGAAATGCAAATCAATTGATCTAAAAAAGTTATCTTAATTGAATTTTTTTTCTTTGACGTCATTGGCGTTATGTGGTTTATAGAACCGTAGAGAGTATGTGAAACTGGAAAATTGATTTGTTACTCAATGATCATCAGCATGCAATAATGCAAAACTGTAAAAATGAAAAAAATAATCTGAGAGCTTTTCATAACATTATATGTTTTGAAAAAAGTTTGAGTTTTTGATCGCTTTAACTATCTAATGATTATCACTGTCTTTGTCCTAGCAAAATGAGCACAGTTGAAAGGCTTTATCAGAAAATTTGTGCCGCCAGCTTTACCACCACAACAGGAACAAAATCCAAGGCATGATAGATTGGATATGTTATATGAAAGTTTGAATTTTATGTTCCAACCCACATTTTATATGTCACTGTCTGTTTCAGCATTGCTGGTTGGCTTTATTCTCACCATGGCCAACATGAGCTTCTTTGCAGCTCTGCTGGCATTTTTCATCACATCCACCAATCTGACAAGATGGAAGGGGGATGTCAAGAAACGCACTGACTCAGAATATAAAGAAGGTACAATTTCAGATTTGTCCAGAAATGTCAAACCGGCATCAACTGCGATGGTCTTGTTTTTTACTTAGCTGAGTAAATCTGGATAGGCCAACAAGGATTGACTTTGTGTCCAGCCATGTTTAACATGTTCAAAATACAGTTAGATCTGCTTTCTCAGTGAAGGGAATATTCTGGAATATTCAATTCTATCATGTTACTTTTTGTATGTGTTCTTGCCATTGTTTTTATTCCCCCTCATTAACACAGTTTCATTTTCTAACTTCTAAATAAAAAAGCCAACATGGATATTTACTCTTATCTCTTTTGGAAGACACAGTATTGACAAGGCTCCTTGGGCAGTATTATAGTTGTCAAAGTATTAACGTCCAAAAATTGGGCCCATTTCTGTTTTAAACCTATAGGTCTTTTAGGATAAATGAACAATTAAAAAATATTGGAACTGGCAGACCAGATTGTTTCTGGAGATGTTTGGAGCCTTCAAGCTTCCAAATTGCTGGTCTGGTCATGCTATGCAAGAGAGTTCAAACTTGCCCCACTAATAAACTTAGATATCCTTACAATAGCTTTACACTAATGATGCATTTCTGTTAGTTTGTAATTCTGATTCTGTCCTGCATTTCTGCATTTATTTGATGGAGTCTGTATCCTCCTGTAGGTGGCCAGAGGAACTGGGTTCAGGTTTTCTGCAATGGTGGTGTGCCAACAGAACTGGCTTTGCTCTATATGATTGAGGTTGGTCCAGGGGAGATGCCTGTGGATTTTGGGAAGCAGTATTCTGCTTCCTGGATGTGCCTGTCACTCCTAGGTGCTTTGGCCTGTAGTGCAGGAGACACATGGGCTTCAGAAGTCGGTCCAGTTATCAGCAAAAACAAACCCAGGCTCATTACTACCTGGAACGAAGTCCCAATAGGTAAGAAGCTATAACTTGTTGACATCTCAATACATAGTTAATTGCAGTGTTCCCAAAAAGTCAGTCCTGGAAAGTCTACCCTCTGCACATTTTTGTTTTCATTATTCTAATACAGATGACCCAGCACATGTAAAGTTTGTTAATTAGTTAATGAGTTGATTCAGTTGTGCTAGATGAAGGAAAGCAGAAAAATCTGCATAATCTGTGGTCTGGACAGGACTGACTTTGGGATCCCTTGGTTTAAAAAATACATTAAATTATTAATACATTTCTAGTTACATCTGTTTCAAAGATTCATTTAATATAACCTGTGGCAAATTTAATTAGCTTTGTCCATTCTCTACAAAGATCCTACTATGTGAGTCTATTTGCACCATTGTTGTGTGCTCACATAAAAACCTCATAACTTTGAATTTATAACAAAAATTTACGAATGATGTTCTGAATGTTCCCTTATCTAGATAACTTCTGAGTGTTTTAAGTGTCAATCAAGAGTTAGTAGGGATCAACTATAACCGGTTGCAATTGTAACTCAAACTCTCTAGCGAGTGGTGAGTGATGCCACTTAGTCTTTACATGATGGGAAAGGTTCTATCTCTGCCTGAGAGAAGTAAGACTGAGAGAGAGAACCTCAGTCTGAACAGATCAAATTACCAGAGGCATTTCATAAAATTGCAGGCGCAAACCAATATATTGAGTGCACTGGAATTGAACCCCAGTAATTTAACCATTTGGGTGAACTACCAAGTACAAAACACACACAACTCAGAACTACAAGTCTGTAAATATGCATCCTTAGGATAGTTTTCACACCCTGAATTGTGTTTTAACTGTGCAAGGCAGTAATAGCTACTGTCACAACGAACACATTTAATAACTAAAACATAAATATATTTGTATTTGTTCCTGTGTGCCTATATAAAATATACATATTTATTAGTTTTTGCAGCCTTATAGAAAAAGCTGTTGAGGTAATACTATTTCTCAGCATTTCAGTGCACAAAATATGTGCTTGTGGTTCTCATATAAGTTGCTGTTGTATTTCATTTTTTATTATTTTGAATGGTGCTTTTGTAATTTTGTACTTTACTCTTTGGTTAAAGGGAGGTTAGTTAGATTTCTGTTTACACATTACACAAAAAAAATCTGTAGTAGCATCACATGCACATCGATATCTGCATTGCTTTTTACATCGTCATCATGATAATATTATTATTTATATGTAATAATACTTATTATCGAACATCGCATTTTACATCCGTATCATGCAGCCGTACTATCTGTATATTTAAATGTATATTAAGCATTCACTCATGTCACATAGGCGTAGGAATATGTGTCATGTTTGATATTAAACAGAACTAGTAGGCTATCAAAGTAGAAGGCTACTGTATACCATAGTAGTAGTGTGATTATGTGGAGTGGGCTTAAATGCCCCCCCCCTTCAAATGTTACAATTGCTCTGCCATTATACTGTTTTTCCATTACATTGAATATTACAGTCTAGTCCTTCTGAATGAAAATGTATGGTATAATTAATTAGTGAACACATGTTCTTTGTTGATCAAAATATAATTAATGAATGAGTTATGGAGAAAAATTAAAAAATACACTTGTCCCTAGTCTAAATGGTTTAAGGTTCACACATTTAAGCTTCTGACAGATTTATCTTACACATTTCTTTGAAACTGTTTTGTTCAGGAGATGATCTACTAGGATCCGTGAGAAATTGGCAAAACCATTAGACCATGGTCCTAATATTTCTGATTTTGGAGTTCCTGTGACAGCTAGTATGACCACCGTTTCTAAGAAGCAATAAAATGTGTTCACAAAAAGCTATTGATAATTTATGCACAGTACATAGTCATTTGACTTGTTATTAGTAGTACAGTCATATGCAAAGGTTTGGGTGCCATGTGGCCATGTGGTGTTTTGCTGAAAATAAATACACATCCTCTACAGACAACACACTTCTTCACATTTTAATTCACAATTAATGTTTATTTGCTGAATTGAACATATTATTTCATGCTTTATTTTTTCCAATATGTTATACTCGACAAATAAATAGAAAATGTGCAGTAAAAAGCCATATTTAAGTTTGTTCCCTGTAGGTGATCTGACTTATTTACAGTTAGAAAATCAACAAAACATGATTTGATAAGGGGTATTTAAACTTTTGCACACAGCGGTATATATTCTCAGCTTAATCAGGAATTTTGTTGTAGTTTATGCTGTAATTTGTATCATAGGTACTAATGGAGGAATCACTACAGTGGGTCTTATAGCCAGCTTCCTTGGTGGGGCCACCGTGGGCACAGCCTACTTCATGACCCAGCTGCTGTTGGTTAATGAACTCCATTTAGCTGTTCCCCAGTGGCCTATCATTGTGTATGGAGCTATGGCTGGCTTACTTGGCTCGATGCTTGACTCTTTCCTGGGTGCAAACATGCAGTATTCAGGTAAGTTCTAAACACTTTAGTATAACTAGCTAAATTATACTTGATCAGTGACGTTAATAATACAACATAGACCAACTGGCCACTTCGTTACACCTTGTTTTACACTTCTTTGTCCATTTTATCAGGTCCACTTACCATATAGGTGCGCTTAGTGTTCTAAAGTTACTGACTGTAGTCTATCTGTTTCTCTGCATCCTTTGTTAGCTCTCTTTTATCCTGTCAGTGATCAGGGCCCTCACAGTACAATCACAGAGCAGGTATTATTTTATCTGACTGATGTGTCATTCTCAGCACTGCAGTGACACTGACGTGGTGGTTGATTTGATACTCTCAATGCATGCAACTCTTTCCAACATTGCATCTAGTGTTAAATGTTTATAAGACTATCTATTTGGATTGCTGTGTAACATTAGAATAAATACAAATAAACATAAATAGCCTTGTTAGTTTGTGTTGTGCTAGTGTGAGTTATCAGGCACAGCAGTGTTGCTGGAGTTTTAAAAAAACACTTTGTCCCCTTATTGTCCATTCTGTTAGACACACCTACCTTGTTGGTTCACCTTAATGATGTAAAGTCAGAGACAGTACCTCATCTGTTGCAGCACAGTTTGTCTTAGTCATCTTCTAGTCTTTTATCAGTGATCACAGGATGCTGCCCACAGAACAGTGTTGGTTTTGGTTTTCGGACTATTCTTAGTCCATCAGTGACACTGAAGTGTTTAAAAATTCACAGCAATGCTGTGTCTGATCCACTCACACCAGCACAACACACACTAACATGCCACCACAATGTCAGTGTCACTGCAGCACTGAGAATGATCCAACCCCAACATAATACCTGCTCTTTGGTGATCCTGTGGGGTTCCTAATGAGCAAGGTAAAAGGAGATAACAACATACATGCCAAGAAACAGACAGACTACTGTCAGTAATTATAGAACTAATTGTAGAAGTGATCCTATATTACTATATTACAGACTGAAGTCAATGGACCTGAGAAAACAGACAATGAGTTGTACTTATTGAAAGAGGTGTACTTAAAGAGTAACTACACCCCATACTTTGAGCTAACTCCAGTCCTAGCTCATCTTTGTAAAATGCTCAGTGGGACAAGAGTCTGGCCAGACATGCACTCTCAGACAGATGCGCACTCAGCCTCAGACACGCACTCTCTGCCACAATGTCAGAAGCAGCCCAACAACATGTTAACTTTTGGCTGCTTCTGCTTAGCGATATCATCACTTAATCCGTTTTTCATTTGTAACACAGCTAGATGATTACATTTGATGTACCACCTTGTTGAAAAAATATAACCTGTGTCTGTTGGTTACTGGTGGTTGTCAGTAATTGCTAATGGTATTCTGTATTTCCCTGATGGGTTGATATCACCGTGTAAAGGATTCAAGTCATTTAAACAGATGTTTTGGGACGGATTCCAGATACATTTTTTCGTTCCCAGGTTTCATTCCTAATGGTTCCTAATCTTCAGCATGGCTTCAGTTTCAGCAGTAGTCTTATCGGTGTGGTAGGTTTTATTTTGAAAGTTCCCATTAATTACCTTATTATCAGTATGACAACGTTAATATATATGTTCAGTAAAACTCTTGTTGCCCAGTGTATGTGGTTCGCTGTTTTTCCTCATAAAACCAACAAAAACTGTTGTGGCAGAGCATCTGACGTCATTAATAGGCCTGCAGTGGATGTCAGGCTGAGAGTGCATGTCTGCAGCCAGACCCTTCTCCAGTGGGAGGGGCACTTTGGGAGGGGCACTGCAGTGATGTTCGGGTTTGGAGGTGGGGCTGGGAGAGAAACTGGGTGAGCTGGACTGCTGTGTTTTTATAGCTAGCTGACATTAGCTACCAGGTGCAAATGCAGGCTATAGCTAGCTAGTTTTTTTCTTTTCTCATTTTAACAAAATTACTTGAAATGCCCATCCTAAAATATGACTTGGCACTCACTTTCTGTAAACTTACTGCGATAGTAATGTTATTTGCTACGTTAGCTAACTTAGCTATATGTTTAGCTAGCTAGTGGTCTAACTATTAAATGGCATCATCCACATATGCTGTTATGATTAGATTCCTTCCTTCAGTTTTAAACACAGACATTTGAGAAAGTGCCTAACTTAAGCAAAGTGCTCTACAGTAGGAGATTACTGAACTTAGCCAGAAAACTTAGCCAGAAATGTTAGGTGCTCTGCAGGGACAACATCAAGATTCAGGCGAAGATTTTGTTCAGGCAGATAACACAGTTTAACCACCATAAAGCTGCCGAAGCTCCCCTCATCAGATTGTGTGTTGCAAACACATGCTGCATGCTGACGGTCTTAGCACTGGGACCTAACTGATCATGCATTACCACTGACTGGCTAGTGCTGGATTAGTGCCAAATGTGTGCAATCCAATATTGCTTTTACATCCGCAGTAAGCACACGTTCGACCCATTGCTCTCAACCTGAAAATGCTAAATTCAAAACTACTAAACAGTTAGAAAAATTAAACTTGGAAGACCACTTTTGAAAGACTAAATAGTAAATATAGCTAGATAAGTTAACTGACAGTAACTGTAGTTAGCGTAACCTAGCTAAGACTAAAAGGCTAAAAAATACAATATCTTTAAACACAATGACTCACAACTAACAATAATAACTAACTAAAACATTAAAAAAACAAGCTAAATGCAGTGTGTCAGTATGTACAGAAAAAGGTCCGAACGGTACCAACGTTCTCCCTCGCTCTTGTCTAGTATGATTCTCATATTTAGGGGTGCGGCATGAGGCATTGTCAGGGGCGCTAACATTGGTTGACTGATTTGCATACTGTGACCAGAGGGGCACTGCAGAGGCGGAATTGATCATGATAAAAATTATATTTTTACTGTTTAGAAAGATGTGTTCAAATTTTAAGCAAGCTGACACATTTTATTATTATAGAGCAATGCATTTTAGCTGTTAATGAAAAAAAAGGTCTCAGGGTGTAGTTAGTCTTTATTGAAGTGGCCGCTAAGTGCATGCATACAGTACAGACAAATAGACAGGATAGTTTTTACCAATACAGTTGTATTGTTCTTGGTAGAAAATATTGTTTCTTATTGTTTTGCTAAAAACATTTTGTTATAGAATGTTTGTGTTCCATTTTTTCTTCATCAAGGGTATGATGAAAGCACTGGAAAAGTTGTACACCATGAGTCACCAGCAGTAAAGAGAATATGTGGGAAGCCCATTCTGGATAACAACGGCGTAAACCTTTTTTCCTCTATCCTCATAGCTTTGTTTCTGCCAGGCTTTGCATGGGGATTCTGGCCAAGGCACTGAACTTAGATATTTTAATTTTGAATTGTAGTTCACATTGGTGTGAACACTTAGTGTTTCAGTTTTAATAGTTTTTCATGTTTTACTAATCCTTCTATTACAAAGTTTGTTGTTTTTTCTTATGCACAGGGAACAAATATATCTGATATTATGGTTGCAGTCTTAGTGTGCTGCAGCTAGCGCGTAGATTTATGTCCAAACACTGACATGTCTGCTATGCAGTGACATTAAAGACAGTGTGCTCCACTACTCAAAATATTGTCAAAATATTTTTTGTCAAAAATTTGTCTGAATAATTATAACTGTACATTTCTTCACATTTTAAAACTGGAACTAAAAATCTTTGGAAAAAGATCTTTGGAAACAGTATGAAACCATACAAAAATTACTTTCAGTGAATGATTTTAAATAAATAATAATTACTGTTTTTCAATTTTTAAATAAATAACAAACAATTTCTGTTTTAACTTGTCAGTGTTGTGATGGCTTTTGAAACGGCTGGAATTGCCCAATATTTTTAATAAACCGAACGAAATGCACAACAATATGCAAAATGGAAGTAGTAGAATTTATAATTGTATTTTTGTGTTTTTCATATTCATTTAACGATGTAGTTGCTATTCATTGTTGAGGTACATACCTGAGGCAGAAGAGTTGAGAAGTGCTTCTTAGTTAACCGTGGTGCTCTACCTCTTATTCTTGTGTATAAATACAAAAGGAGTGTCTTGTCATTGTTTCTGTTGTTTCTGTGATTTCTGTGTAGTTTCCTGCACTGATGCTCTTGTAGTTCTAACCTTAAAGGGACACTCCAACCAAAATGAAAAATTGAACCATTGCTCAGTCTGTTGCAGGCATGCTTATTTGCAGTGCTGCATAACTCTAGAACAATTAATTGAGATCAATTTGATTAAGTGACCCTTATTAGTCCCACAATGGGGAAATTTTACCTCCACAATCTAACCCATCCATGCAGTGAAACACCACATACACACTAGTTAACACAAACACTAGGGGCAGTGTGCACACTTGCCCGGAGCAGTGGGCAGCCCTATCCGCAGCACCTGGAGAGCAGTTGGGGGTTAAGTGCCTTGCTCAAGGGCACCTCAGTCACATACTTCCAGCCCATGACTGCCCCACGATATTCTGGTTTAAAGATAAGGAAAACCCCTTTCTAATGATATATGTAGAAGGAGAGGAGAAGCTCGAAACTCACTTAGAGTGTATTTTTGGGGGTGGGCTTTTATCTATTTATTCATTCATTCATTCGTTAATCCATTCATCCATCCCTCCTTCATTAGCTGGTGAATGCAGCAGGAAGGGAGACAGCTAGGCATATAAATTTAGTAACAAAGGAGAGAATGGATTAATCAAATGACAAAAATGACTGTGACTCATCATAGGAGTAGGATCACAACCTAAAACCTACAGTTAGCAAAGTTAGAAAGAATGAATCACTTGACCAAGGTAAGAGTTAAACTGATGCTAGTTTGGTTGTTATTTGAATTTCATTCCAAAACACATTCTTACAATATTTTTTTTCATGATGTATGTTGTTGGAGGCTGGCTTTGCACAGGAAATATGCAATATAATGCTATATAAGGATTAATGCAACCTTTAGTAGAGATAATATTTTGTAATGAAACTCATCATTTATTTGTCTATAGATTGTTCTTACACAAGTTTGTTAATGCAGAAACTTAAATAGCCTTTAATGGCTTCCGGTCATTTTGAAAACAATGCCTAATACTGCCAGGAATTATTGCTGCATTCCTAGATGCACCAGTTATTTGAATTTCCTTTTGAGAAAGCTGAAAAATGTCACCTTAACGAGGTTAAAAAAGAGGCAGGTAAAACTGAAGAGCCAAAGTGGGCTGTACAGTAGGATAGTTTTGCTTGCATTTTGTGATTAAAAATTGTTCAGTTTGAAGATGGTTAATGTTATAAAATTTAGAAATATTAATTCTTTGCTAGTTGCTGGGTGCTGTTCTATGTTCCTGTGCACTCACTGATGTTGCTATTCATCGTGTTTATATGAAAATTTCTTCAAAATATCTGGCTTAACGTTACATTTTCTAAGATGATGGTGTTGTGTGCCTGGCAAAGACTTTTTGCCGAAAGAGAAATAGCGTCACCACAAGTGGAATGAGGACTGCTACATAGGTAACTTAAACCCCCGCATTTAAAAGGTGAGGAGTGAAGTATCTTAAAAAAAAAATAGTTAGCTACTTTGTAGCTACTTTCCCAAAATTTGTGGCTAGCTACAATTTAGCTACTTTTCCAGAAAAAGTAGTGGCTACTTTTTAACTACTTTTTGAAAAGTAGTGCACTACTTTTTAGCTACTTTCAAAGCACAATTGTCAGAATGTTTGTGAATCTCCACCTGATACACCAAACAAGCCCAACTGACAGTGTGAACAAGACACTGCATTTAGTTATGTGCCAGAAAGAAACATACAATTAAAAAGCTGCAAATATACAAAAAGATCACCAAAAAGTAAGTTTAAGTGTAACCAACAATCAAACTTACACAACCAAAGCTGTGATATCCTACAAAAATGTAGATTAAGTAAAGGCAAAGTCAATCATTCCAGGTTTTTCCTAACAAAACTCAACAAAAATAACCAGACACAAACCAAACAATTTTGTGCAAAGCATTGTCAACAGTTGAAATAAACCTGCCTGTGTTAAACTTCAGCAACACTTCAGCCTAAACATTTTTAGCAGTGACACTGGCTCTGCGGTGTACTATTAGTAATAGTCTATTACGAAAATGTTTTTTCCACTTTAGCTAAGGCAGGTGTCGGCAACACGCAGCTTTTTTACTGCCCTGTTGTGGCTCCACAGCAGAACTACATTTTTTGGTTAAATAACAATCATCCTTTGCAGTAAAATAAAGCTCTGCTGATCGTTTTAACACAGTTTTAACAATAAATGGTCTTAAACGCTGGAGTTAACATATAACTGCTAATAGGCCCGTAACTAGGATCAGAATTTTTGTGAGGTCAATTTTGCAGAAATGTTACTTACATCTGATTGTGATTAAAATGACTACCAAATAGGAGTATTACAGCAACAATAAGTTTCACCTTTTGTTTTTTTTATTCAATCACTGCTCTTTTTTACCCATCTATAACTGTTATGCACCTTTTTCTTTCATTTGTTCCTTCTTCATCCCTTCTCTCTTCCATAAACTGCTATTAATGTTCCATAAACTTATTTGACTTCAATTGCCCTGTTTAAGTTTAATCATTTAACTATTTATTTATGTTTATTTTCAGAAAAATACATTAAACCTACATGAAATCAGGCTATAGTTTCAAATTGATTGTTTCATTTACCTCTCTCTCTATCTTTGCTTGTCACTTTTGCATCTTTGTACTCAAAGATTATTGTAAAAGCACACATTAAACATATGTTATAAAAGGGCTGTCTGTACCAAACCCCAGCTAAAGGGAAAAGCAGCTACTCATATAGTTAATGAGACAAAATATAGTCTAATGTACCTGCTGATTTCTTAATGTTTGCTACATGATACTATACCTTCAATATGCTGGTTAACAGTGAACTTTCTCACGTTGCTTGTAGTATGTTATGAGTAGATAACACAATATAACTTAACTTTCACATCTAATCTCTAATATAACCTACTATGGAGCCTGTAACCTAAACTGAGCAGCTACTGGAGCTAGACTAAAGCATGCTGATTTGGCTAGCAACATTACGAGCAGTCCAAGCAAAATAATGAAATATAGGTTTTTCATTTTACAATCTTAATGTGTTAATTGTGCTCATAAACTCTCAGCTAGCTACATTTTTGCCATAGCAATGTTATGTGTTAGCTTATAGCATGTGTGCTGCATACCTGAACATCTCAAGAAGTCAAAGTTACTCTGGTTCTCTGGGCTGTGTAGCGTCTCGTACAGAGACAAACAGAGCAGGCAGTTCAGTCTATGGCCGAGCCACAACTGTACTGAGGCCAGCTGAGAACCTCTCACTGCTCGCTGTGTCGTTTCATCGCTTTTTGAATCTCATAAAACCCTGAGATACTTCTGAGGAGCTCGGAATCTTGACGTTAGTTACGAACGTCACAGGCGCTGATTACTGAAGTAATTGCAGACAGCAACAATTAATAAGCAGTGATTGGAGGGTTGAGAAAATAACGCAGAGCTTAGCAGATTTGGATTGGCCATAATTCAGTGACAGCGCTCACAGAGAACAAATCAAATTTCATATAAAAAAATGAGGCATAATATTCTGTCCCCAGATTTAAGATGAACATCAATAACTTGGAGACGAATGGACTTATTTGCATGTATAATCACTCCAGCTAGTTTCCGGATACGTTTAATCTGCAACAAGAAACTGTCAAACACTAAGTCATGAAGTCAGCTTCTCGTTCAAATTCTCCCGTTCCACCTTAAATGGCGCAGCAGTAACGTACATTCTGGCGCCTCATGCATCATTTAAGGTGAAACGGGACAATTCGAACAAGAAGCTGGTAAATGAGAATCTGACTTCAGCCTTAGAAAAAGTCGAACGTTCAAAGACATTTTACATTTCAAAGTTTCCTGACTGATGTGCGAGAGAAGCGGCTACAGCTGACCTAAAATTTAAAGCAGAGCAAAGTAAGTCTGCGTTTTCGTTTATAATATGTTTTTTAGCCTATACTAGCACATTAGCACACACTGAGACTTATTGACAGCCAAGATGGTAAAACGGATATAAAATGCTTTGGTTACCGGCCCCTGAGCTGAGCCTACTACTAAGGGGTGATCAGCGCGTGGGGGCAACGCGTGCCCGTTTGCTCGAGCTGTCTGCGGCTCAGTCAGGATTGCACAATCGCCACCACAAGTTAACGGCCGCGCTCTGTGGTTCAGATTTTCGCGGCTTGCCTGAAGCTTGTAGCGAAAATTGTCGCTACAGCTACACGAAAATATGCAGGCGCTACAGCTATTAGCTACATTAAATAAAACTGTAGCGGCTACAGCTATTAGCTACATAAATTTGTAGCTAACTACAAAATGTAGCGTGCTACTTAGCTACTTCCCCATCCCTGATGTCTGATTTCTGCAGTGCAGGGAGGAGTTATAGTTTTTAGAGGAGAGGCCTCCAAAACGGGTCACTGGATCTCTTATTTTTGTAGTTAATTACGGGGTGACCAGTCAGTTACATCAACAGGTCAGTTAACTACAAGCGATTACACAATTTAGAGCCCAAAACTGAATTCAGGGCCCAGATTTGAAGGCCTCTGGTTTAGAGCTTTGACAGGCAAGACGCAAGGTTTAAGAAAGCAGCACAAATACTCTGAAAGAGTATGTGCTATTTATCTGCATCCTTGCAGTTTAAAGTTCAAACTAGGATGCATCAGTATCACAGGGTAATGGACACAGTCAATCTGAGTGTTTAAATAGTTCCACACTAAATTAAGTTCTTTTCCAAAATTTTGAAGGGGACATTACTTCGGAAAGGGAGCTAATCATTCTGTTTGATGCACTTTATGTGCTCATTTTCAATGTGCAGTTGAACAGAGACAAAATTGTTTCTTC